GCCCACCGTGAAGCAGGAGAAAAGGGTCTCCGCTTGGTGGGTTTTCGAGTGGTGAGCGGGCGGTCCACTTCCGCCCTGCAAGTGCCGGTTCTGGTGGCGCACGATCCATGACTCACAATGTTAAATCCCTTCAAATGATCTTAAGCAATGTGCGTAGCCTGCGAAACAAGCTGTGCGAAGTCGGCGCCCTTGTCGGCGACTGCCGTCCAGATGTTGTCGCATTCCCTGAAACGTGGTTGTTCACCGACGTCACGGACAGTGAAGTGTGCTTGCCAGGCTACGCACTGCTGTGATGTGACCGCACCTCTGATCGGCGCGGAGGTGGCGTTGCTTTGTACGTTAACTCCGCACTTACTGTCTTTAAGACGTATAGTTTCAGATCACCAGAGGGTGATGTTGAGGCACTCACAGTTAACCTGTGTATTGCCTCCGCGCAACTTAAAATTGTGCTGGTCTATAGAAGCCCCGACAGCGTTGTTAAGGGGCTTGTTCATTTCATCCGCGAGCATTCGGCAAATAGGTGTTTAGTGATGGGGGACTTTAATCTTCCGGACGTTGACTAGCAGAATGTTTCCTGCGACACTGTTACAAGGTGTTTGTCTACTGAGCTTCTCGAGCTGGCCTTGCATGCTTCCCTACATCATCATCATCATCATTACACGTTAGCTGAAGGTGGAAAACACCTCAGCTATTGTGCCGCAATACAAAAGACAAGGAAAGAAAAAACAAACAGTGGCACGCCCGCTGAGTCCCCAGTAACGGATGGACATCGTTCCGGAGAGCTAACAGCTGGCTGCCGTAAATGAGAGTCACATTACACCTAACAAGTGAGATCGCGATTGGATGGGGATGCTAAACAGGAGGGGGATGGGCAAAGGAACTCACAACACAAACGCCATTGGGGCCGGCTCCAAGCCATATCAGCAAGTGTGTCCAACCAAACGTGTTCACCGTCTTTAGGACCCCAGCCAGGCAGTCGGGATGCACCAACCGACGCCAACTTTGAAGTGAGGGTTTTCATTTCTCTCGACCAAGTCATCACTTGACCTCCCCTCCTCCTCTTCCAACCGCACCCACAACGCGCAAACAATGCACGTCGCGGGAGTCGGTGTGCTGGCATGCGCAACACTTGGTCCAGCCATCGGAGCCTGGTGCGTGATATAATGGTGCTGAGCGGTTCACTCGCTCTTCCTGCACCAAATACGCGACGTCGAACACACTCATTGCTCACGCGGTGTTCCCAACAGACATGAGCTAAGCTGCGGAGGGAGTGATGATCGAATGTGACGAGCCTCTTCATGTCTGTCGACCTGATGGGCCAGGTTTCACAACCATATAGGAGAGTTGAACGGACGGCTGCGTTGTAAACTCTGCCCTTCAGAGCGAGAGTAATGTCGCATCTGCGCCACAGGTGGCGGAGATTGGCAAAAGCACCTCGAGCTTTTGCTATACGGTTCATAACCTCATCTTCAACCCCACGGGTGCTAATATACCTGCCCAGGTACTTGAATTCCTGAACGACTTCTAGCAGCTCATGATCAAGCGTAAGCGCGTGGTTGGGTCCCTGCCAATTTTGGAGAAGTACTTTGCATTTCGGTGGAGCAAAGCGTAGCCCAAAACGATAGACAGCCAGTGCTAATCGGTCCAGTGCTGTTTGGCATGTTTGGGAGCTGTCACAGATTAGGGCAATATCGTCCGCATACTCCAAGTCAAAATGTAGCTCCACATCTTCTAGGTCGTGTCTAGCGAACGCTGTTTCCATGACTTCACCAATAGCGAAGTTGAAGAGGAAAGGTGACAGCGGGCATCCTTGTCTCACACTGCTGGTGACACTGAAGGGTGGCGAGAGTTTGCCATAAACCCTCACCCTGCCCGAACTATGCGCGTACAGCGCTTTAATAATGTTTACATATTTATCAGGCACACCTTTCCTCAGCAGACACTCCCAAAGGGCACATCGATCGACTGAGTCGAAGACACCTTTTATGTCAAGAAACACAACAGTGGGTCGCCAATAAACATTGCGGTGCTCCAACACTTGACGCAATGTGAAGATGTGGTCGATGCAGCCCTGACCTCGACGAAATCCGGCTTGGTGCTTCCCTGCACCAATTTGTCGATCGGCCTACTAGATTCATGATGGGTCAAAACCCATCCCTCTTGGACTTGATCTTCGCTAAATCCATTGATTTTATCACGGATATTGTATAAAACTCACCACTCGGTGCTAGCGGCCACGCATATCTCTAATTTAAGTGCGCCCTTAGTCGTCAGACTAAGGCTCATCGTGACCGAGTTCCAAATATATGGCGCGCGGACTTTCAGACAATGAGAACCAAGGCCGCAAAGTCACCTACTGTCATTTTGGAAAGTGACGATATTCAAATGGCCTGAGACAGATTTAAATCGTACTTGAATGAGCTCTCTCTCCCCCATATACCACTATCTGGCAGGAATAAAACTAGGGCAAACCCACCATGGTTTGATTCTGCTGTACGCAAAAACTTAACAGGCGTGCTAGATATTGGCGTACTTACTTATCTGCTCCTTCATTCTGCACCTTCAAGCGATATCGTGAGGTCCGAAATGCCTGCAGGCAGCATCTACGAGGTGCTCGTCTACAGCATGAAGTAGAGCATGCTCGTGTAACCTCATCAAACCCGAAACGGTTCTTCGCTTATGTCAAAAGGTGAAGCAACATGAACTCGTGCATCCAAGTGTTGTTTGGCCCTGACGGCACTGCTGCCGTCACGGATCACGAAAAACTTGTTTGCTCGGAGAACAGTATGCTGGAGTTTATGTTCGAGAGTCAGCTGCCGCATACCAGTCTCCAGGCAAAAGTTCCTGAGGGCTCCCACTTGGAAGGGGTTTCTATAACGGAGGCTCAAGTGCTCCGGCTTCTGAGGCAATTAAATCCCAATAAAGCTGCCGATGGGGATGCTATTCATCCCAAACTGTTGTGCGAGTTGGCTGATGAACTTTGCCGTCCGATTACGCAACTTTTTGTGAAGTCTCTACGAGGCTGCTTTCTACCTAAGGACTGGAAGGAGACTGTTTGTCCCATTTTTAAGAAAGATGATAAGCACCTCCCTGATAACTATAAACCGGTCAGTTTAGCGAGCATGCTGGTCAAGTTATTGGAAAAGCTCGTGAGGGGACGCTCTCGAAGGACACTTGAAAGCGTTTGAATTGCTTAATCCTTCTCAGCACGGCTTTCGTAAGGGCTATTCTTGCCTTACTAACTTGTTAACCGCTCGTGAACACTGGGCCGAAGCCGTTGATTGCGGGAAGGCAGTGGACGTGCTGTTCATTGACTTTTCCAAAGCTTTTGACACTGTTCCACATTCGCGCCTTTTGTACAAACTGAATTCCTATGGTATTTCTGGACCAGGTCAGGTCAGATCAAACGGACGATAGAGGCTTCCGCCTAACGAGCGTCCAGTTCTTGTGCCAGTAAGTGAAGCGGCCCCGGCACTTCGACGTTGATGCATTTCAGCTTTCCTAATCGGAAGGGAAATGTGTGTGCGGGTGGGTTCAAGCCTGTCCTTCCGCCAATGTGTTCTCAGTGGCGTTCCGCAAGGTTCGGTTCTTGGCCCCCCTTCTCTTCACTTTATACGTTAATGACCTACCTGATGAATTGGGTGTACCATCCCTAGTGTTTGCGGATGGCTTGAAACTCTGGTTCACGATAGACGCTCCGATTGGTCCACTGACCTTACAGGGGTCTCTGCATAGACTTTAGGACTGGTCAATTTTGTGGCAGTTGCGCGTTAATTTAGCGAAATTTTCCGTTTTACGCGTTAGTCCGAATGACCCGCAGACGCGTTATTTGCTTGGCGGCAACGAGGTACCGCGAGTTCAACTCCAATCTGACCTCGGTGTTTTGCTGTCATCCGACTTTAAGTCCAATGAACACTGGACGACATCTGCTCGCAAAGGTTTCAACATGTTGGGGATGATCCGCAGGTCATTCGGGATCATGACCACCGAAATGTTCGTTAGACTATTTTCGGCTTTTTTAATGCCGCACTTGGAATACTGCGTTCAGTCTTGTCCTCCATGTCTGGTTCGTGATAAGATGGCAGTTGAACGAGTCCTGCGGTCTGGGGCGAAAATGGGGCAAGGATTAAAGAAGCTGACGTACTCGGAGAGGCTACGTAAGTTGGATATGTTTTCCATGTATTACAGGCGGCTTCGGGGCGACTTGGTCCTCACATATCGTATATTGATGGGTCAGATTGGTCCTGATTTGACTGGACTGTTTCGCCCAACTCGAGTGCCAGCCCTTCGTGGCCACCCATTAAAGTTGCACAAACCCCGGTCTGACCGGGTTTGGGCAGCTTTTCGGTTATCGCGTAGGGTCATAGCTTATTAAGACGTATTGCCCGCAGACGTCGTGTTGGCACCGACGGTGAAAGAGTTCGAGCGTCGACTGATGCTCTCGGTCTGCAGTTTAAAGTTTTCCCCTTCATTTCTTAAACTTTTCTTCGTCTACTACGACTTGCGCTTCTTTAACTCATTTTAACTTACATCTTAATATTGCCTACGATGTTCGATAAGCTTGTCTTCTCCTCTGTTTCCTTTCCTTTACTGACACTACTGTTTTCCTTTATTCTTCACGTGGCCGGCACAGCGGGGACTGCTAGTGTAGGGCACGTGGGCATTGTTTGGTTGACCATGTGAATCGTGTGTGTTGATTTGGCTCTCCTTTGGCACATCAAGGCACCAGTTTCCGTGTTGGATCAACGACGTTTTCCAAGGTGGAACATTCGCGGGATTTTCCTACTGTTCCGGTCCCACTTGAACTTGAACTTCTCGGAAGCCTTTTGTGGAAACAGTATTTGTGGTTCAAACGGGCTTGAAGGTGTCCAGTATACCAGCGTTTAAAGATCTTAAATTGTTTACCTACTGTTCTTGGTTTTCTCATCGAAATATTTCTTGGTCTATGTTTGAAGACTTCAGCGCAAAAGATTCCGGCCTTTGTCGATATCTCATCGATAGAGTACAAATCGGGTTGATATTCGACCGCGCGAAGCTGATCAATCCCTCGTTCCTGCAGTCTCGCCCAGCTCCAACGGAGAACAGCTTTTGGAGGTTATTCTACAGAAAAGCCTGTTTTGGTCTTCGTTGCTACTTTTATTGATCTGGTGAGTCCAAATCTGTGCAAACGAATCACTCCGGGTTCCATCTGATTGCTGCTCACGTTGACTGCATTGTAGCCTACCGTACTCCGGTTCACGTTCCTATTGTCTGTTAAAGCTTTCCGCTTTTCGTTATGGTAAAGATATCCGGTTCCAAGTCGCCCTCGGACCCATTAACCGATTCGTCAGCTGTTTGTGGTAAAGCGAGTTACTCAGAACCAGTTACTGGTTCTTCGGGTGGCATGCAATGTGACCTCTGCTGTTCTTGGTTCCATGAGGTATGCACTGGGTTGGATAGACAGCAGTATATCCTCCTACAAAACAGCGATGATTTACTTTATAATTGCCCTGGTTGTGTGAGACACAAAGCATATCGTCTAGTCCCAAATGACGAATTTGAAACTTTGGTGAATAGAGTGGGTACGCTTTTATCTTTGTTTAGTTCTTTAGGAAGGAAGGTTGATCAAATCGTCGTAAGCCTTGAACGTGCAGGCCTTCTGAGAACAAGCGTGTGTTCAGACGATTGCATAAATAGTACGGCTTCGGAGGATTCACCAACTCTTGAGGCGGTGCCTGAAGATGGTAAACATCCTGACGTTATATTGAACTCAGTTGTGAGTGGGGAAGTTGTACAGACCAGTGTATCTGCGAAGGCAAAGCGACGCAAGATAAAGAAATCCATCAGTACAACCAAACCCAAGCTAAAAGATGTAACGGTGCGCTCTGTCGATACTCCGTCCCCGGAAACGAAGGCAGAAAACTCTTCCACCTCACTGCCGGAATCCTTCTTCTGTGCACCTGCTGTTCCTACTAAAGAGGATATGAACTCAAGCGCTGCGCCGGCCACTGCTACGGTGACGTGCCGTAAACACCCCTCGTAGTGATGCATTCACGAACAGCAGCGTTATCTTAAGGAATATCTCGCAGTCCTCTGCGGCTGTTCCGAAAGATCGCATGCTTGACGACCTTCATTGGTTCAAACTTTGCGTTTCCAAACTACTTCCACTCCGGTTTCCAGGGGTTACTGTTAGAAAACTTACTAGACTTGGAAACATATTGGGTGATAGTACTAAATGTAGACCCCGTCTATTACGTTTGGTCCTGTCTACACCGGAGGAGCGCTTCGCCTTTAAACTTAAGGGTTCCGGAGTGAGTATACAGCCGGATCTACCTTTAGGAGATATGATAAAGCTTAAGGAATCCATCAAAAACCTTAAAGCGCTTCGCGAACCTGGCGAGAAAGGTTTATGTTTGGTGGGTTTTCGAGTGATGAGCCGACGGTCCACTTCCGCCCCACCAGAGCCCATTCTAGTAGCACACGACCCGGGGCTCTCCATACCAAACGTTTTCACATAGTTCACAGTAGTGTGCGTAGCCTGCGAAACAAGATGTATGAAGTAGGGGCCCTAATAGACCACTCCCATCCTGATGTACTCGCGTTCACTGAAACCTGGTTGTCTTCTGACGTCATGGACAGTGAATTATACCTTCCGGGATACACACTACTGAGATCTGATCGCCGCTGAGGTGGAGTCGCCTTGTGTATCAGATGTGGTGTAAAAATATCAAAAACATACCTTTAACTCAGCTGATAAAACTGTTGAAGCTCTTGCAGTTGAAGTCTGTACCGAATCAACGCAATTTAAAATTATGCCGCTGTATAGGAACTTTGATAGCGTTTCTAGGATTTTCATTGACTTCATCCGCACTCACTCTGCGAACAGGTGCTTGATAATAGGGGACTTCAACGTCCCTGAAGTAAATTGGCATGACCTATCTTATGAGGCAGCGACAACAGGATTGGCTGCTGAGCTTGCTGACTTGACACTGGAAGTACCCTTACACCAATTTGTCGATTGACCCACCAGGTACATGGTGTGTCATGCTCCTTCTCTGTTGGACCTAGTTTTCGCAAAGTCGGTTGACTTTGTGAGTGACCTTGAGTACGGTTCCACTTTGGGAGCCAGTGACCATGCGTGTTTGTCATTCACTTGTGCTCTCATTAGAGACTACGATTCACGCAGGGTCCGGACTCGGAACATTTGGCACACCGACTATCTGTCTATTAGAGCCAAGGCGGCAAGTTTCCCAAGCATCATCTTGCCGGATGATGATATACAGACGGCTTGGGATACGTTTAAGTCCTTCCTCTTTAATATATCCCACCCCAACATCCCTCTTGGGGTAAAAAAGCGTACTAAAACGAAGCCACCATGGTTGGACTCAGTCGCACACCAGCTAATGAATAGACGGGCAAGATGCTGGCGGATGTATCGAACAGTTCTCTCAGAATGCACTTTTTGGCGTTATCGTGAAGCTCGGAATGCTTGCAAGAGTCATTTACGAGCTACTAGACTTAGCTATGAGATGGAGCTGGCTAACTCAGCCTCCGCAAATTCCAAAAGATACTTCGCCTACGTCAAAAGGCGTAGTAACGTTGGCCCATCTATCCCAGTGTTATTAGGTAGCGACGGCGCCAGTGCCACCACTGATCACGAAAAAGCATGTCTACTCAGTGCGCAGTATGTCGGGACTTTTGTTCGGGATGAGCATTTGCCGCATGTTGACCTAGCAATGAGAGTCCCACAAGACTCCTGTTTAGCACACATCACAATTTCGGAGGCAAAAGTTCTCCATCTTCTTCAGGCTCTAAATCCGCTGGGATGGATGATATTCACCCTAAGGTTTTGTACGAACTCGCAAGCGAGCTATGCGGACCAGTGTCGCGTTTGTTTCAGTTGTCGCTTCGCAGCTGCTCCTTTCCCAAGGACTGGAAGGATGCTATCGTCTGCCCGATTTTTAATAAGAGCGACAAGCATCTCCCTGCCAATTATAGACCGCTAAGTTTGACAAGCGTACTGGTCAAGGTACTGGAGAAGTTGATCAGGGATGTGTTTGAAAACCACCTGCGGGAGTTTAGTCTACTCAGCACACTTCAACACGGCTTTCGCAAGGGTCATTCCTGCATGGCTAAATTGCTAATTGCACTCGAATGTTAGGCGGATGCTTTGGATCGGGGTCATGCAGTAGATGTAGTGTTTATTGACTTCTCCAAGGCGTTCGACACTGTATCACATTCTCGCCTTTCCTCGAAACTTCGGTCCTATGGAATATCCGGGGGTGCACTAAAATGGATCACCACGTTTCTGGAAGGGAGAGAGATGTGTGTTCGTTTGGGGTCTAGTCTGTCTTTCCGACAGTCAGTCCTCATTGGGGTCCCTCAGGGTTCGGTGCTTGGCCCGTTGTTATTTTCCTTGTATGTCAAGGAGCTGCCCGAACTGCTGGAGGTACCATCTCTCATGTTTGCAAATGACCTAAAGTTTTGGCACATAGTGTCTGACTTCGATAGACCCCAGACTCTTCAACAGGCCCTCGATAAACTTTGAGACTGGGCTGCTCTGTGGCAGTTGCCCATAAATTATGCAAAGTGTTCCTTCTTACGAATAGGGCCAAATGGCCCCCAAACGCGTTATCTGCTTGGCGGTAATGAACTACACCATGTCTCCCAATTGGTATACCTAGGGGTCACGTTGTCTTCAGAATTTAAATTCAGTGAGAACTGGAGGAAAGCTACGTGCAAGGGTTTCAAAATGTTGTGGATGACCCGCAGAGCATTCGGAACCATCACGGGCGCTATGTTTTTTTAGGTTATTCTCAGCATTTGTCAGGCCGCACTTGGAATACTGCATCCAGGCTTGTCCACCTTGCTTAGTCAGGGACAGGATGTCAGTGGAGAGTGTTGAGAGTTGGAACCAAACTGGTTCATGGACTACAGAACCATTCTTACCCAGAAAGACTACTTGCGCTGAGAATGTTCTCAATGCATTATCGCCACCATCGAGGCGACCTAGTCTTGATTTAGGCTTTTTCAACCGCCTCGGCTTCCATCACTCCGAGGTCACTCGATGAAGCTACCCAAACCTCGATCGGATGGAGTCCAGGTGGACTTTCGTTTATCACGCCGAGTGGTGGATTCCTGGAATGCACTGCCCTAGAACGTGGTATTGGCACCAACAGTGAGAGTTCGAACATCGACTCGACGCTCTTGGCCTTCAATTCTCAACATTCCCCTTCACGTCCTAGCTTATTCGTCCTATTGAATTATTAAATATATTACGTTTTTTTCTTGACGCTCTTATTACTTTAGTACTTCTTATTTCACGTGACCGGTGCGGCCGGGACTGCCAATGCAGGTCGCGTGGGTATTAATTGGTTGACCGTGGTGTGCTTCGCGCGCGCTGATCTGACTCTTCTGGATTCCAGTTATCGCGGACGAATAATACCCTGGATCAACGACGCGCCACAGAAGGAACATTCACGGGGATTTATCCTACTGTTCCAGTCCCACTTGAACTTGAATCTGAACCAACAACGCCCAATTACCCGATTTACTGAAATGTGGCAACAGCAGTCCCGTTTTTCCTCGTCTGTATTTTTTGGTGAGTTCCTTTTTCTCGATTATATACCTGTATTCATTTGTTTCGTGCGTAATTTTAGTACCTTTTCGTGTTTTTGTTCATCCTTTATCTTTTTGCCTCACATTTTGAGAGTGGCATCTGAGTCATTTCGCAGCGTAAACATGCTTACTTTGGCTGTTCCAAGTTTCGTGGAACACAGCCCAGAGGTATGGTTTACGATATTCCAGATCGAACTGGAAAATATGGGCATTTCGGCAGACTGTCCGAGATACAGTCAGCTCATCCCACGCCTTCTTTCCTCGGCTGTGACGTTGATTGAGGACATTCTACTCTGCCCATCGAATGAGGCAAAACATGACACGATGAAGCAAGCAATTTTAAGAGTTACGGCCCAGCGCACGAGCTCGATTTGAACAGCTCAATGGTCTCAAGCTTGGAGATCGCAAGCCGTCGGCGTTGCTCCGCGAACTTCAGCGCATCGCTGGTCCCTTATTCTTGAGCGAAGAAGGGATAAAGGAGCTGTGATTTGCACGTTTCCCAGAGCCCTTGCCGGTAATGCTGTCCATGTTTATAGATACACCCTTGAAATAATTAGCTACCAAGGCAAGCGCTGCGTTCGAACGTTTTCCGCAACAGACGACTAGTAGCTCCGGTGACGTATTCTCACCGATGAAAACCGAATCCCATATTTGCTCCCAGTCTTCAGGCCGACCTGACCTTAAAGACAAGGAAATTGCGCTACTTCGCAGCAGGATGGCAGCAATGAAGTCTTGGAAGCGGCGTGTGCCACGGTCAAATGCTGACCACGTTTTGACTACCGTTCATTGCGGCTCGTCTGTGCCTGCACCGAGTACGTCTCGTTCGGCACGAAAGCGCAACATTTTCCCTGCACGTTCTCAGTCAGATAATACCAAAGCCGTCGAAGAAGTATGTTGGTATTACCGGCAATATGGTGGAAGAGCTAGACGTTGTCGGGCTCCCTGCATTAGGCACGACCCAGCTGCTTCAGGTAAACCGAATACCAAACACACTAGCACGACCAACATATCCGTCAATAACCAAACAAATGGCCTGTTTTACGTTAAGGATCGACGTTCTTCCATCACGTTCCTCACCGATACGGGAGCAGAAGTCAGCGTCATCTCAGCGACCGCTAAGGACAAGAACTCAGATTCTACGTACAATTTGCATGCGGTCAACGGTTCTCCAATAGCTTCATTCGGTCAGCGCATGATGAACCTGGACCTCAATCTTCGCCGAGATTCTCAGTGGGTCTCCATGGTTGCGTCTGTACCCTTCGCAATTATCGGTATGGACTTTCTCCGACATTTTGGGTTGCTTGTTGATGCTGGTCGCCACAGACTTTTAGACGACCATACTAAACTAAATGTTGAAGGCGTTCTTACGGACGCCCCGATAATCAGTCCCGTTTTTCTAATCGCCGACGTACCATCAGATTATGCGAGCCTACTGTCTGAATATCCGCGACTGGTACGACCAGCTGCAGTGCTTCCGCCAGTCACGACAGAGGTCGCTCATCACATAGTCACGCGTGGTCAGCCAGTTAGCGCACGACCAAGACGGCTAGCTCCTGACAAACTACGTGCAGCACGAGCTGAATTCGACCACATGTTTCAGCTCGGTATCGTCAGACCATCCAACAGCCCATGGGCGTCGCCTCTGCACATGGTCCCGAAGAAGGTCAGGGGGGACTGGCGTCCTTGCAGCGACTATCGAACCTTGAATACGGTTACCACGCCTGATCGTTACCCGATTCCACGCATAGTGGATCTCACCGCCAATCTGGCGGGTAAAAATATCTTCAGCAAAATCGACTTGGTACGCGCATACAACCACATTCCGGTAGCCGAAGCGGACATCGCTAAAACTGCCGTGACGACTCCATTTGGTTTGTTCGAGTTTCTGCGCATGCTCTTTAGTTTAAAGAATTTCGCGCAAACCTTTCAGCGCTTCATCGACCATGTTTGTCGCGGTTTAGACTTCGCTTACGCGTATCTCGATGACATTTTAATCGTGAGCTCTTCACGAGAAGAGCACATGCGCCACGTACGAACACTTTTTGACCGTTTATCTCAACACGGAGTGACGATCAACGCAGAAAAGTGTTCGTTTGGTCTCGACTCAGTAAACTTCCTCGGCCATCGTATGTCCTCTGCAGGCGTCGTGCCACTGCGGGATAAAATTCAAGCCATCATCGACTACCCTGAGCCTCATTCTTTCAAACATCTCAGGTGTTTTGATGGGCTTGTCAACTTTTACCGACGGTTCATACCCAACTGCGCCTCGCTGATGCAACCCCTCACGGACCTTCTCCGAGTGAAACTGAAGAAATTCGAATTTCCTGCCGTAGCACGCGCTCCTTTTAAGCCGCTGAAAGAGGCTATCGCCAACATAGCTTATATAGCGCATCACGATGCGGCAACCGCACTGTCCCTCAGTACTGACGCCTCGGACCTGGCAGTCGGCGCTGTTTTGCAGCAACGAGTAGATGACACGTGGAAGCCTTTAGCGTTTATCTTCAAACGGCTACAACCTACCGAATCTCGCTACAGCACGTTCGGTAGAGAACTACTATCTGTATATTTAGCGATTAGTCACTTTCGACACGTCTTAGAAGGCCACTCCTTTGCCGTCTTCACCGACCACAAACCCCTGACTTACGTGCTCGGCTCGACCTATGACCGATACTCTGCTAGAGAGTCGCGCCACCTTGACTATATCGCTCAGTTTACGACCGATATACGGCATTTCTCAGGTGTGCACAACGCCGTCGCCGATGCACTTTCCCTCATCCAAGCTGTCTCCGCTGTCGCTGGTACTACTATCCACTTTGCAGCCATAGCCACAGCGTAACTCAACGATCCTCCTCCTCATCATCACCATACACGTCAGCTAGAGGTAGGGAACACCTCAGCTACTGTGCCGCAATACACAACTCAACGATCCTCAGGTTGATGTACTACGCAGGTCTCCCTCATTGGACATACGACCCGTTCCGCTGACATCATCAGACGGAACTATACTTTGCGATTTATCTCTGGGCACGCCGCGCTTAGTCGTCCCACTCGCGTTTCGGCAGACCGTGTTCGACACATTGCACGGCTTGTCTCATCCAGGCGTTCGTGCATCGGTTAAACTCGTAACCGCACGATTCGTTTGGCGCAATGTTAATCGGGACGTCCGTACTTGGGCAACTGTTTGCCTTCCGTGTCAACGCGCGAAGGTGCACAAGCACACGAGAAACCTATTAGGCACGTTTCCGACACCAGACGCACGTTTTCATCACGTGCACTTCGACATCGTAGGTCCTCTGCCGCCTTCGAAAGGCTGTGTATTTATTCACCCGTGTCAATCGGTTCACTAGGTGGCCGGAAGCTATTCCCATACCTAACTGCTCTTCGAAAACGATAGCGAAAGCTTTTCTAGAGCGTTGGGTAGCTCAATAGGGCTGTCCCGCCATTGTAATCACCGATGGAGGGTCACGTTTCTCGTCAACATTTGCCACGTCGCTTAAGGATTTAGGCTGTCACCACTTTCAGACGACGGCGTATCATCCGGCCACTAACGGTATGGTGGAGCGTTTTCACCGCCAGTTGAAGGCAGCGCTACGTGCGCACGCAGATCCTTCATGGTCTGAAACACTCCCCTCGTTCTCCTAGGCTTAAGAAACCCGGTTAAAGCCGATTTCGACTCCACACCAGCGCAGCTAGTCCACGGTTGCACGGTGCGGTTGCCCGGACAGCTGGTAGCACCATCCCCATGTACTTCCACTTTGACTACGGAAATTACACTGATCGATTGGCTCACCAGATGCGTGAGCTACGTCCACCCGCTCCTCGAGCGTAGTAGACACCGGTGTACGTGCCCGAGAAGCTGTCTACATGTTTACACGTCCTTCGCGCAGACGGTGTTCGACAGCCTCTTCAGTCGCCGTACATAGGACCTTGTAAAGTGCTACACCGTGCGAGTAAGACATACACTATTGACCGCGGTGGTCGACGCGAAGTTGTCACCATCAACCGTCTGAAGCCCGCCCTTATGGAAGAAACCACCTCGCCTACTTCGTCTAGTAGCGCTTCGTGCGACGTCACAACTCACCGCACCAGCTTACAGAATTCTAGTGCAGTTCAACCAGACCACGATCTCGGTCTACAAGCTTCAGCCGTCCCGAAATCTCCCGAATCTAGCCCACCGCCTTCCACGACCAATCGCCGTGGTCAGGAGTTGCGTAAGCCCGTTCGTTTCTCCGACTATGTACAGTGAAATATTTTTGGCCGGTGGCCGGTGGCCGAGTGGTTGGCACGTTTGCTTTCCAACCATAAGGTCACCGGTTCGAATCCGCGTAGGGGTGGGCGTCCTCGCGGTATACTCAGCCCGCGCGCGACTGGTGGTGGTCGCGCGGCAGCGAAGCGCCGTTACGGCGTATAAGCTGACACATTTCACATTTTCAGATATTGTATATATTTGCCCCGTTTTTGGTCGATTAACGTTTTGAAAACAAAAATATCGAAAACCTCCGAAAAACCTTTTTCGAAAAAATATTCAAAACCAAAAAATTTAAACACGCAGATCATTCGTTCGTTCTTTTTGGCATTTTCTGCGTATTTTTTCTATTTTCTCGCCTCTGCATGCCCTAACCCTCCCCTTCGATCGACTGGTCCACCCGACGAATGTTTTCGAAGACGCGAACGCTGGTCGTTCCGTCGCGGGACGAGTGTCGCTTCTCCGCGGGACGAGGGACGTTTCTCCGTGGGACGAGTGTCGTTTATTCGCGAGACGAAGATCGCTTCTCCGTAAGACGACGGTCGTTTCTCCGTAGGACGAAGGTCGTTTGGCGCGGGGTGGGGTGCGGCGGGGGGAGAGACCACTTCCAAGCGCACCGTTTGGCAGCAGCGGAGGTTGACGTCCTGTCGGCCTTTTTATGGGCTAGCCAGTTTTTTGTAGTCCGACAAGCCCTCTCCAACGGCTCGCCAAAATGCACCCTGCCCTGCAATCAATAA